ATTTTTGCCTTTATCGTAGTAGTACTGTAAAATATGCCGTATTTTCTCTTTATTTTGCTCCATGTTTGCGACGCTATAACTCACGAACGACTTAAAAGACAGGACAATCAATCAAACACGTGTTAGCGAGTGAAATAAGCTTTCCAAAAGGTATAGCATGACCCAATGCGACGAATAAAACTAGAACTACGCGCTCTCAGCGCCAACTAGCGAAAATACTGCAAGACTTTTTTGACAACCTAATATTTATAACAATAAATAAAAAATGTGACATTTTGGTCGACCGACATTATAGACATTATTCCATCATTGCAAAACGTTCATCAATGTAAATCGAAATTTCGAAATTTCGAGAACGGAAGCAAGCTAATCATTGTTGTGCTACACGAACTGATACAGCATCGTATTCGTAAACTTCACAAATTTCATAGGTGGCTTTCATTGCTTTTTTCCATTTTTTAAAAAATTTCAAAATATAACGAATTTCTTCATTATTTTCACTTATTTTTGAACACCTGAACAGCTGTAACTTTTTTTCAACTTCCCCGAATTTCATTTTTTTTGTTTGTTAAATGAAAGTTAAAATCTCACCATTCCAACACTATACAAGTAGAAGGATGTATGGTAGACGAAAACACTTTCTCGACTACTCAATATGATTATTGTTTTCTAATAGTGATCCCTAGACGTTAGCTGGCATAAGCTTCTCAGAAAAGCCCTCTCATTATACTGGAAAACTATTTCTCCAACCACCCTTGATTAATTAGTTAATTAATATGATTTTTTTCAGACATTTGCTGGTTAATATAATCTGTTTTATTAGAATGTGAGACACAAACCCCTTACACACAATATACCTTCCTGAAATCAACCGTGCGCGCCTGTGGTCCCTTCTATACAGTTTATCATATCATGTTAATATGTGTAGCTTAGTATTGATAATGAGAAACAAAGATAAAAACTATTTGCTCAGTGATAATAGAGTAGAACATCGCCGAAGCGGTTATCGTATTCACCTGCTGCATTTTCTGTTTGCCTAGTTGGCATTTTGATTACAAAAATTATGAATGATTTCGATATCACTATCGCCTTTCATCGGCCCCCAGCGAAAGTTGTTTGATAAAGCAGTTACTATCTACAAAACCATAGTCGAGCGCAATTGGTTGCACCACCAAATTAATTATAACTTTGCTCACATAAACTTCGAGTTTCACTTTCAAGGAAGGGCGAGCAGAATGTGATAAATGCGACAGATAGTCATTTCCGATTTTAAGCATCTTATTTAACAAATCCATATATATTTATAGGACACCAATGGACGAGAAAGAGCAAATTTGATTTTGCTAAGGCTGGATACTAAATTTTTGGTAGTATAAGACGAGCCAGAGCAGAGGCTGTAGAACATGAAACAAATTTTATATCAAGTTGAAGCATGTTTGAAAATATCTAAATGATTCTGTGTTGTAATACGTGAAAGAATTGGCTTGAAAACTATAACTATTTTTTACATGATATATTTCTTGTGTTTGTTGGCGCCCATCTTGAGGTTGAGCCCTTTGAAAAAAATATAAATAAATCATAGTTTCTTCCTTCGTCAATATAGACTTCTTTCTAGCTGGACTTAAATTCAATATTACTTTTTGTGAGAAATTTTGAGTCAATAACAAGGAGTAGTCATTACACGAATGGCTCACTAAAGGATGAGAGCATCGAATGATTCAAGAGATTATGGCAGAAGACTCATTTATGCCAAATATGAGTACTCTGGATTAGTTAAACAATGGAAACATAAGGGATTTGGGTAAACAGCTACATTACGAAACTTTTTTGTCTTCAAACAATCATTCGGAACTCGTTAGTTGGTTCCAACCTGCCCCAACACCGAAAACAAAGAAGCCAACACACAGATTACATCTCGACTAGAAGTGCCACTTTGGCCCCCTACATATAAATAGATCCTGCAGCTTCCAGCTATGCTATTTGGGAATTCAGCGAATGTTCAGGAAACTAACACAAAGATAAACATCAGTACCGGCTACGGTGCTTCAGTAATGAAACAGAATCGTCAGCCATGAGGACAAATCAGTTCAGCTGGTACTGCGATGGTGAGGAAACAGAAAGTTGTAATCAGGGCAGGCTAGGCGGAGAAATCTTTGCTACACTTGGTGCTTCCAGATGCCGCTAACCATAATTTTAGCATTAAACTGAAAAGTTAATAACCTAAGAAACTGCCCTTGTGAGTGGTCTTGAAATTATAGTTCGGAAACAAAAATAAAATTACGCAATTTTAGTTAAAATTATATCAAACACAGCAACATGGACTTAACCCGACCCGCACCCGCACTGAGTTAATAACAAGGCTATATATCTCGGTCTCTCAACAACAGTTCACGGCTTTCAAAGTCCATTGCACGCGTCTACAGAATTGTATGCGGGTTCATTCGAAAGGCGAAAGGCAAGAGCCATATTTTAACACTACGTTAATATTATGACATTGAATAAAATCGGCAATAAGTGCGCAAATTGTGCGATCAACATAAATTCAGAGGCGAATTAACTCAATTGAGCAGCACTTTGACATGTGGCATTACTGCATAGTTCCACCCATTTCAGATGGCTACGCTTGTGCCGCTGGATGCTGTTGCGTAAATAAATGTTACAATGTTGATCTCTTCAAACTTGAGCACTTTGTATTGCAAATTTGTTTTCCCATTTAATACATTTTCCTATTATTAATGCCATACTTGTTGATGTTTTGTTTTTGTTCCGCTTTCTGTTACGCTGCTGCTGCGCGCCAATAAATTGTTTCCCGTTCATAGGTCGTAACCTAAATCGATGAAATTGCATTTTAAGTTCTTAGACAAGTCTAATAAAAGAACAAATATTTGTTTTTTGGTCTCAGCATCTCAATATTGCTCGGAGAATACTCAAGTGCTTCCGGCAAAGAAATTGATTACTTAATGCCATTTCGTATCTAGTCTTCGCAGACGTGTGTAGTTATGCGCTTACACATTTTGCGGCAATCACTTGGGGCGCTTCAGCTTATTAGCTATTAAAAAGTTTTACAAAACACATTTTAATTGAAGCCCCGCGCGCAGGAGCGAGGTGTTACATTGATGCGTAATGAGGGCAACAATAGTCTGAACATTTGTGTTATTGCTGGCAGAAACGATTATGAGAGTTACTCTGAAAGCGTGTAGATGGAGTGGGTTGGTGGAGTGTCTGTGGGAGTTTTTAAACAATTCTCATTTATCTTTTTCGCCTAACTGAAATAACCAAACCTGCAATGAATCTCGTCAAGGTGACATTTTGTGGTTGTGAAGAGAAGTGATACAATTTTTCTGTCACAGCTTTTTCGAAGAACTTTAACATAAGGTAAAAAACTCAAATTTACTTGATTTTAGTACTTTAAAATGAATTTCTTAGTTTTCAAAAATGTAGCGAGCATTTTTTGTGTCTTGCTTCAAGA